GATGTATATTATATAGAAGGTGGGGAAAAAAAAAAATTAAAAAACCAAAATACTTCCCTCCTCTTAAATTATTTTTTTATTAAAAAAAATACTTTATTTTACATAACAAAAAAAATACACATAGGAAACACAAAAGGGAGCAAAAAAAAGCGCCCCTCTCTTGGTGGTATGAAAAAAAAAAAAACAATATAAATTAAACAAAAAATCATTCTTATTAATATTTATCAAAAAAAATAATAGAATTTATAATTTTATATATAAATAAAAAAAAAAAAAAAAAAAAAAAAACAAAAAAAAAAAAAAATATTAAAAAAAAAAAAATGATACTGTAACTCGAAAAAGGCGAACCATAATAAAAAAAAAAAAAAAAACCATCTCTTACCGTTCAAACTCGTAACTACTGTACGGACTGATTAAGTTACACTTGGCGTTAAAAATAAACTCATAGGCACGAAATAAATAATAGTACCTACTACTTACAGATATTACACTTTTTTGATGTTGACTGCTTGCTGACTTTTAATAGCCTACATAATTATTACTAATTGGATAAATCGCACACGCGGGCTAAATAAAACTTTATCGCTGCGCACGAGTGTTCATATTACATTGCATCTTTTCCCCTTATTAAGTCACGGCGGACCTTCCGTATTTAATAAGGGATTTCAATAAAAAGTAAAAAAATACATTGTTTCGCAATGTATAACTTTGTATTTACTTTGGTGAAGTACCTAGTCTGATTATGATCGATGACTTTTTCGCACCTATGTGAGTTCTGCGATGTCCAACGCATGCAACTTTCAAGCAACAGCAAGGCTATTCGTCAGGAATCGCGATGCTTGCCTCGGAAGGAACAACAAATAAACTTCAAATATGTTAATGTTAGAACATTCGTATTCTACTTTTTTTAAAATCTTGTTAGTAAACAAAGTTTTATTTTCTTTATTGTTAATTATAATTTATAGCTCCAGTTCAAGACACACGCGGAATAATTGTTAATTAAATTTAATATGCTATTGTAGACCTCCCAGAACAGTAACACAAAAACTCAAATTAGTTATGGATATTTTATTCAATCGAAATATAAAAAGTTTCCGCAAAGTAACAGCTGATTTAATTTGCCAGTTGAACAAAGGTATATAATTTCTTAGTGTAGTGGAATAATATAAATTTCAAGTACATCCGATGTTAATTACATTTGATTTCAATTATGTGGGGATTATCAAAGTTAATTATTTATAGGATTCTTAAAGCTCTTGCGTCCAAAAATTCTAAGCAATATTATAGTGACTCCTCTAGTCGTGCATATGTCTGGAATAGAGGTCGCAAAAAATTTCAACAACAAATAAGAATCTAGGCATACATAACAAATATTAAACGGAAGTCGTTCTAGGCGGCTACTCACTTGCTTACCGCAGGGGCAATCCAGGGTGTAAGAGTAGGGGTGATCCTTAATTGCCTCCTTAATTGTAACGTGTGTATGCAAGCAGGGGCAATATCCTAGGTCGGCCCTGCGGCAGGGCGACAGGGGCGCCAGACCTTCCTTGCTCCCTAGATCGCCGCTGTCGCTTGGTTAGCGCAATTGGGGCAATTTCATTTCAATCACCAATCAGTTCAGTTCGTTAGCGACTTTCGCCCGGGGCACACGTATGAATAGATACTAAAGTACAGAGTACATAATAGTACTACGTAACTAAAGAGCATGAAACTTGGACACTTATTCTATAACCATAAAAGTGGATAAAGAGCGGCTTCTTCACTTTGTATTTCTTTCTTCTTTTTTTTGCGGTACCTAATACCGCATAAAAAACGTTATTTTAACGTGGTAGAACCATTCTGCAGCTATTATATTATGGTTGCAAATATTTATTAACTAGATTGTAATATGGATAAATGTAGATGTATGGCCACAGCATCCACTTACCGTCAGGTGGACTGCGTACTCGTATGTCACCGTATTCAATAAAAAATGAGCCAAGGCTATATCGATACTTTGATATTTCGATAAAAGGGCGCCATTCTCATGTGTTCAGCAGGACGTACACTCTCTCTCATAATAAACGGCTGGCCCAGGTACGTCTCTACAATTCTAAATTCTAATATTGCCCGATCGCTGACACCCTACATTGCCCCTGCGGCAGGCATGTGAGTGAGTAGTTGACCCGCGTGCCAAGCATTGCAAATAGTGATGACACGTGGTTAATTCGTTCAAGAGTGGTAAATATGGCCCCTTGACGCAATCTATGGGGAGTCCTATTGTCTAACGGTAACAAATCTAAGTAAAATGGCGAGCTTAATAACCTGAGGAAAACAATGTAATCTCAGCGAATACGATTTTTTTTTAATTTAACTAACACAAAAATTTAATTAACATATATTATGAATAACACTTATTGAAAGATATTTTATTTTCCGCCGTTTCGGAAATACCAGTATACTGGTTCGAAAGAAACAGGAAAATAAACAGCGGGTCTGTTCTTATAATTTATAATTTTAAAGACTGATTGTAATGATCTTTGGAAACGGCTTATTAGCGACCACCAAATTCATAGGAGTTTCTTTCAGTTTGTTTCATTCAACGAAAACTTGTATCCGTTTTACTACGACACTGTGGGTGCCGGGAAACGACCCGACGGCGCCACCAAAGCAAACACCACTCAATATTACATGACCTCTAATGCATTATTTATGAATCGCATAGCTGAAAACCTAGGCCACCAAGTGGACGCTCGTCCTCCTGGGAAAATGACGTCATTTAATGAGGTCGCGGGTCACGGAATACTATTAAATAGCATCTTTATTAAACTTTAAAGCACATAATAACATTTTCGGTAGTTATAGTACCTAGTGAAGATTAGACCTTTTCTTACTTTCTTTTGAGTGGACAGTGTCACAACATTAAGCCCTTAATAAAAAGTAAAAAACAAACTTCAAGGATATAAAAAGAATAAAATATTTTCCACAATTATCTTTGAATAAAACTAAATTTACGGATTTTATCGCGTTTATTTCACTACTTTTACTTATTTTTAATTCCCGACGTTTCGGGTGCTTTACAGCAACCATGGTCAGGTGGGGGACTGAGATGTTTGACGTCATCACAATTATCTTGTCAAGCTCAAAATATTGCATACTCTATATTTTCTTTGTAATAAACAATATACTATTTATTTACTTAATGTATATCATAATAAAATATATTATATTATAGTATACAATGGTGCGTTCAAAAACACCACGAAAAAATAAAACAACAGCGGACCCCCTTAGAAAACCTATGTTCAAAATTTGTCAATAAACAGATTTAAAGGTTTTATTAAAGAAAATTGTAGATGCAGGGTCATTATAATATTAAGGAATATATGAATGCAAAAGCCCCTGGGATGTATGATCGCCACCATGCTGGTTCTATTAACATTCATTTAAAAATCGTACAAAATGATTGTAAAGTGAAATAACTTTGAAAAAAAATCCCACTCGGTTTCTTGTTCGTTTTTTCCGAGATTTATTTTCCGAACCAGTGGTAAATAAAACTAAAAAATAACTTTCAATAAGAATTACAAGTGATCTATATTAAATAAAAAATTATTCTACTTTATTCTTCGAAATACATTTTTTTTAATTTCTCAGACATGACTGAATACCTCCTAACCTACCTACGATGTTTTCCAGTACTAAAAACCGCAATTAACAATTTTATTGGTGCAGACGGAGATCGAACCCGGGTCGCTCGCGCACTATGATGTTTACTTCAGTCAGCGGCGCTGCACATATAATATAATTAGTACTAAATTAAAATACGTTTCCTCCCTATTTTGATTGATGTATGAAATTGAGACTATCGCGATATGTCGACCCCTGAATCAGCGACCTTTTCCATATACGTAATACTGTTTGCATGTACGTCAGTGCATTCTCTATATGCTATCTGACGTCACGTTCTAGCATTACATCTCATATGTCGACCGTATTAATAATCATTTGCTCAGTTAACGCCCGTATAAACACAAGTATATTGGTTCATTTCTCTGTCTGAAACAACTTGTGACGTTATTGGGTAAGATTTGTTTGATTTAATGATATTAAGGCTCAACTTCGAGTATTTTTAGGATTCAATATCGTAACATGCGTTGCTAGTAATATTTATATAACTAAGATCCGCGTTAGCTCATAGTAACTCATATCCATTCGTATAATAATAATACTTTATTTAAGATATCAAAAATTTATAATATTATAAAAAAGAATACTAACCAAAGTCTATAATACTAATTAACTTAAGTACCCTAAAATATAATTAAGTAACTAAGAAATAAAAGCAAAATAAATTTAAAAAAAAATGCTTGTTGATGAGGAAGAAAGGTTCTCGAGTGACCGGAATGAAATCAATAATCGTTAGGCGGCGAAAGAAAACATCGTCAGTAAAAGTTGCATGTCTTTCACAAAAACCACCCGAAAATAGTAGCTCAATGCTGCTGCTTCGTATGGTGAGTTTAGAGAACCGGAGACCCTTGGAAACGAGGCATTCCATCTTAGTCCTCGAGAGTATTTAATTCCTAATCAAGTGTAGATGTAGTGTCTACAGCATCCACTTATCATTCTGGTGGACTCGTTCGTTTGTCACCCTTATTTTATATAAAAAATAGTTGGATAGCGATAATGATTTCTTATCTTTAAACGAATAGTACACATTAAATGAAACTAATTTTTAATATCGCGTTTAATTTTAATTTATTTATCCTGACACCTCAGCCCCCTCCTCCTGTGACCATGGGAGCTGTAAAGAATCCAAAACGTCGGAAATTAAAAAGTTAAATTAAAAACGCGATAAAAACCGTGAAATTAGTTTCATTTAATTTCAATTATGGCGCGATTTAGGCCTTAATTTTGACCGATCCATAAGGCATCATTACGGCAAAATGACAACGCCGGCTTCACTTCAAAAGTAACATAATTATGACACCTCTAACAACTCAACTTACGGTCCATTTTGTCCACAGTTCTGGGAGATCATTTCTGAAGAGCACGGCATCGACCCCACTGGCGTGTACCGCGGCACCAGCGACCTGCAGCTCGAGCGGATATCCGTCTACTACAATGAGGCCTCTGGTAAGTACACCCAAATAAACAGCAGCAGCTCTTCCCCCCACCCCTCCCCCGTCACTTCATCAGCAAATCCTTGCTAAAGAACATCGATTCCCACCAAGGATGATTCGCGGCGCTATTAAAATCAAAGAACATCCTAATTAATTTCAATAGAGAAGATGGCTGGGTGCTACTATCTGCTAGGAATTCTGTAATTAATAAAATTAAATCCCATCCAAGGCATACCATTCCGATACTTCTAGATATTATGTGAATCGGACCAAAGATTATTATTTAAAATTTCAAGGTAGCAATCGTTTACTATAACAGTGTTGTAAAGTACCCGCAAAGTGCTAGTACTGTATATTGAATTTTCATTACAATTACATACCTACCTCGAACTACCTCATCATACCTATGTATTGGATTATACAGTAGCAGTAATGGACAACCCACTGCTACTGTATAACACAGTAGCAGATACGGCACTTGATCAATTGCCCATTACAGCCTATAAAAATCCACTGCTGAACATAGGACTCTGTCATGGATTGTCTCATGGCGAGGATTTTGCCACAGTTGCCACGATTACCAGGCGGGTTGCCAACCGCAGTCAACCATCTTCTGTTTTTAGTTCCTTCTGTCGCCTCTTGCGAAACCCACGGGACGATATGGGGTAATTGGCATTCTTACACCGACACTAGGCAGTTACCATGATGTTACTATTACTGTCTGCGAAGGATGGATGCAATGAAATTACTTTTGTTCTTAGTATTCGCGTTTATTTTGTACTAGAGTAAGGGTGACAAACGATCACACAGTTCAATTTATGGTAAATAGATGCTGTGGTCCATAGACATCTACATTTATCCTCGATTAAGAATCACAATGCAGATGTATTTTCACCCTTGAGGAACAAGATAGAATGCCTGGTTTCGAATAAAAAGGATCTCCGGTTCTCTACACTTATCAACACAACATCAACACTTATAAACACAGCAGCATTAAGCTGCTATTTTACGCTGTTATTCTATTAGAGCCAACCTGATAGTGCTATAACCATAATAAAACTGCAGCGTGGCTCGACCACGTAACAAAACATAACATTATGTGATCATCAAATTACCATTATGATTTAAACCATTCGAGATACCAAAGTTCACCTCCCGACCTTCCCAAATGCAACAATTGCCCGACTGTCCCGTTGCTGTAATTAAGTCGAACAAACCGACAGGTCTTAAGTACCCGTTATGGGACCGACGACCCCGCGGCTTCCATTTAAATCCACGATTAAGGCAATTGACTCTAGTTCTGTTAGCTGTTACAAAGTCGACGGTATGCATAGCAGTGGAAATGAATTTGGAGCGCTAGTAATTATGATTCCTTCTCCAAGTTATTCTTAGAGCCAGCTTCTAACATTATTCTTATTCGTCAACCCGCAGCACTCCACTGCTGGACGTAGACCTCGAATCGAGGATAGATATAAACGACTTTGAGCTGCAGCATCCAGGTGGACTATGTTTGTCACATTTACTCGTTAAAGAAAACTTACCACGCAAAAGAAGCGACCTAAAACTGTAATTGTATTAAACATAGAATACTATAATACACAATAGAATGGCTGTCAACTTTATTTTGTACGAGGTTTGGCATACCCAAACCCGATTCGCTGTGTTGACAGACTGAATTTAGACTTTTGATTAATGTTCAAGATCATCATTTAAAAAAAATCGTTTAAATTTTAATACATATTTATTTGTAAATTTGGAAACGATTATAATGTCAAAACAATCTCATGTTGACATTTATACGTATGAATTGACGTGTTAGTGACATTTTAGTGGCTACGCGGGCTCCGTCCACTCCTCCGTTCTATTATGTATGTATTATAGTATTCTATGGTATTAAATCGTCTATTCACGACATAATAACTGGCAATTTGATATCACTAAGCCGTTTTGCAGCTACTTGCGGTTTTACAGCGACCGGCAGACAGACAGTGAAATTATGCATAATCACCGCGAAATAACAGTACCCGCCGCCAGCGAAGCGCGGCGTTCCGTGCAATGACCGCGGAGTTACGATAAATTCTAGATCTTCTATGATTTCGACTGCAAGTATTTCCGAAACGGAAATAATCTACGTTAAAATCTACTCAGGTTCAAAAAACGACAATTTCATAGGGGATCTTGGTATAGTCGCCTGCTTCAATAGATTTTTGTTCAATATTGATTATAAGAATACTTATTTGAATTAATTTAATATCTTTGCCAACCACAATAAGGGTAGTAAAGTTCACAGCACGTGAACAAACCGGGTTCGATCCCCGCCGGCACCAAAGAAATAGTTAAATGCAATTTTAAGTGCTGATTTACCACATGCTCGGCGGTGAAGGAAAACATCGTGAGGAAACCTGCATGTCAAAAAAATATTTCGAAGACATTTGAAGTTCGTCAACACGCATTGGGGTAGCGTGGCGGACAATTTCTTGCCTTAAACCCTGTCAGAACTGAGGCCCAGGCCTGTGCCCTAGCATTAGGACATATATAGACTGTAACTATACGTGGTAGAGCCATGCTGCAGTTATATTAGTAGTATAGTTGTAGCACGAAATGGGTCGGCTCGACCGGGGAAGGACCACGCTCTTACAGAATACCAGCGTAACATAGTAACTTAATGCTGCTGTGTTTCGTATAGTGAGTGTAGAGAACCGGAGACCCTTTTTAATGGAAACAAGTCATTACATCTTAGTCATCACGTGTGACAACGCATCTGCATTTTGATTCGTAATCGAGGATAGATGCAGATGTCTGAGTCCCAGCAACCACTTACCATCAGGTGCACTGTGTACTCGTTTGTCACCCTGTCCTATAAAAAGAAACTGGAAACTGTAACACTATTAATTAGGGGCTGGAAGCCGAACGACATCGGACATTAAAGTCAAAGTGAAAACTTTATGTACTATTTAGACTTGTTTACTGCTCTTATGAATGTTAATAATGCACATTGGTTTTGCACAATGCACACAAATGCACAAGACCATTTCAAAAGACTGGATCCACACCGGTTCATAGAACCATTTTAGAGAAGAACCGGCAAGAAACCACGGGGTCATATAGTTTTATTAAATTATTTTTTTTTAGAATATGTGTGACAAACCCGCAAAAATTTCATCAAAATTGATCAAGCCGTTTAGGAGAAGAATCATCAGAAACACACGCACACCGGAACTTTAAGTATAAAGATTTTTTTTTATATGATAGGGTGACAAACGAGCACACAGTCCACTAGGCCCAAAACTCTACGTCTACACTCACCAAAGAAACACAGCTAGCTACAACTACAAACACATTATGCTGCATCTGGAGATTATATGATAGGGTGACAAACGAGCACACAGTCCAACTGATGTTAAGCGGTTGCTGTGGTCCATAGACACATACATGTATCCTCGATTACGAATCAAAATGCAGATGCATTGTCACCCGTGAGTCATCAACATCATCATCATTACAGCCCTTCACAAGTCCACTTCTGAACATAGGCCTCCCCCAAGTAATGCCACAAAGCACGGTCCTGAGCCACCTGCATCCATCGACTTCCTGCATATCTTACCAGGTCGTCACTCCATCTAGTGGGGGGTCGCCCTACACTACGCCTACCGGTACGAGGCTGCCACTCGAGAACCTTTCTTCCCCATCGGTTATCAGTTCTTCGAGCTATATGGCCGGCCCATTGCCACTTCAGCTTACTAATCCGTTGGGCTATGTCGGTCACTCTGGTTTTACTGCGGATATCCTTTCATTTCTGAGTAAGTACTAAGATGGAATGCCTCGTTTCCAGTAAAAAGGGTCTCCGGTACTCTACACTCACCATACGAAACACAGCAGCATAAGCTACTATTTGACGCTGGTGGTAGTCGACCAGGGAAGGATTATCGCCAGAATACCAGCGTATAATTGCTGAATAATTCCGCTTTAATTCCGGTTATGTTTTTTTTATAAGGGTCTTGATCAATTTTGATGAAATTTTTATGGAGTACTGGTACAGTCACCAGGATGATCCTTAACTTTGTTTATCCCGATAGGTAGCGCTGTTGTCAAGGTCCAGAAATTAATCGTGCAAAGCCTAGAATAAAAAATATATTTAATATCTTACCAGTTTTGAAACAGCTAGAATAGTTTACTTTAGCTATTTCCATAGCATTTTGTCGTATGGTATACGTATATTTATTTTACAGAAGAGGGCCATTAGAACAGTTTAATTTAAATTAATTTAAAACCAAAAGAGTTACTGAAATAAAAATTTAAGGAAATTAATATTATATTAACTCTGGCCTCTCAATACACAAAAATAAAAGTAGTTTTGCAAAAATAAGTGATATTCATTCTGTAAATACTAGGAACAGACACAAGCTAATAGTACCAGTTACTCGACTCCACCGAGTCAGTAATTCATTCTTGGGGCGATGTATATTTACAACAAAATCCCAGAAAATATATACAATTTGACTACACAAATTTCAAAAATGTTTTTAAACTAAGTTTGTATAAAAAGGGTTATTATAATATTAAGGAATTTATGGATGATAATAACCCCTGGGAAGGGTGATCGCTACCAAGCTATTTCTAATTTGTCTTGTGTTGTTAATTGTAAACATGATTGTAAGTTATTATTGGAAAAAAATAGTCCCGCTGGGTTTCTTGCTGGTTCTTCAGGACAGAGGTTTTTTTTGCGAACCAGTGGTAAATGAAAAAATTGACTTTCAATAAGTATTGTTATAATCTACATTGAATAAAAAAGTTTCTGTTACTGTTTCCATCGCTTCACACCGCTGTTAATATTCGAGATTTAACGGTTATTATGAATTTTCTCTTAAATAATCTTAATTAAATCAATTACAAAAACAATAACTAAGATAACGAGGTCGACAACCGCACTTTGTCTGTAGTCAGTTCGAAGTTATTATTGTTCTGTTACGTTCTTAGAGATAAAAATGTCCGTAGTTAATAAAATTTTATCGACATACGAAACATCTTTAATTTCCGCTGTCAACAAGGAACTTTTATATTCTGTTCATTTGTCCTAATGTGTCGCTGTTGGGCTGCCAAAGCTACTTTATTATACAGTCAAAAGTAAAATCAATTACTGGGTTTTCCTGTCAATACATTCTCAATATCAGCCTGGAGTCAGCAAGTTGGCGGTGTTTAATTTCTAAAAGTACGTAAAGCTGTAGGCCCTGCGCCTGATCTCTCTCCGTTCGTGTCGGGTTACCGTCCCATCGGACTATGAGTTTTTTTTATATAGATCAATGGTGATAAACGAGTACATGGTCCACCTTATGTTAAGTGGATGCTGTGGCCCATAGACTCTGACATTCTCATATACTCTACATTTATCCTCGCTTAAGAATCAAAATACAGATACGTTGTCTGTCACTCCTGAGGACTAAGATGAAATGCCTCGTATCCAGAAATTTCAGGCCTCCGGTTTTCTACACTCACCATACGAAACACAGCTGCATTAAGCTGCTTATTTACGCTGGTATTCTGTGAGAGCGTGGTCCTACCCCGGTCGAGCCGACCCATTCGTTCTACAACCATAATAAAGTTGTAGCGTGGCTCTACCACGTACAACTTCAACATTCAATTAAACTTTCGCTTAAACATCCTCGAATATAGGAACCGCAATTTACTTCTATCACCTTCTTATGATACTATTTCTTGCCCACAGTTGCGACGGCGGAGAGCGGCGGAAAGTATGTGCCAAGGGCCATCCTCCTCGACCTCGAACCGGGCACTATGGACGCCGTGCGCTCAGGTGCCTACGGCCAGCTCTTCCGTCCGGACAACTTCGTATTCGGTCAATCCGGCGCCGGCAACAACTGGGCCAAGGGACACTACACGGAAGGCGCCGAGCTGGTAGACGCGGTCCTCGACGTCGTTCGCAAGGAGTGCGAGAACTGCGACTGTCTCCAAGGCTTCCAGCTCACGCATTCCCTCGGCGGCGGCACAGGCTCTGGCATGGGCACACTCCTCATCTCCAAGATCAGAGAGGAATATCCCGACAGAATCATGAACACGTATTCAGTTGTGCCCTCGCCCAAGGTGTCAGACACCGTGGTCGAACCGTACAACGCGGTGCTATCCATCCATCAGCTAGTCGAGAACACCGACGAGACCTACTGCATAGATAACGAAGCTCTGTACGACATCTGCTACAGGACCCTCAAAGTGCCCAATCCGACCTACGGTGACCTCAACCACCTAGTGTCCCTCACAATGTCCGGCGTCACCACCTGCCTTAGGTTCCCCGGTCAACTAAATGCGGATCTCCGCAAACTGGCCGTGAACATGGTACCCTTCCCGCGTCTCCACTTCTTCATGCCCGGATTCGCGCCGTTGACGTCCCGCGGCAGCCAGCAGTACCGCGCCCTTACAGTCCCCGAGCTGACCCAACAGATGTTCGACGCCAAGAACATGATGGCGGCGTGCGATCCGCGCCACGGCCGCTACCTTACCGTCGCCGCCATCTTCCGTGGCCGCATGTCGATGAAGGAAGTCGACGAGCAGATGCTTTCCATTCAGAACAAGAACAGCAGCTTCTTCGTCGAATGGATCCCCAACAACGTGAAGACGGCCGTTTGCGATATTCCACCAAAGGGTCTGAAAATGTCATCTACCTTCATCGGCAACACCACAGCCATCCAAGAGCTATTCAAGAGGATATCCGAACAGTTCTCGGCCATGTTCAGGCGCAAGGCTTTCTTACATTGGTACACGGGCGAGGGTATGGACGAGATGGAATTCAACGAAGCAGAGAGCAACGTAAACGATCTCGTGTCGGAATACCAACAGTACCAGGAGGCCACTGCTGAGGACGACACGGAATTCGACCAGGAGGATATGGAGGAGCTGGCGCAAGACGAGCATCACGACTGAACACTAATAGCATAATGAATTTCCGCTCATTTACTTTTATATATCTTCAACGAAATTAGAGGCTAAGTTGTCCAAATCTCAAACAAACTTTAGACCCTCGAGCAGGACACTGTGATGCGTCAATCGGTATTTTGACGTGTCGTCTAAGTGCAAAATGGAAAGTAAAAAAATATATTTTCAAATATGATAGTATTATTAGAGGTCTGTTCTTTTATAAGATACGTCAAAAATTAAGGAACGTACCAATCGCTGCATTTCCTAGGTTAAGTTATTATAACGTCTTGTATTCTTTTATATATTAATTTATAATTAAATGTTTTTAACAATTGCGTTTTTAATTTATTTGAGTATGGGATGTCATGCAAAAATAATATAACAACCTTTCCCGAATGTCCCTCACGTAAGCGTAATATTTATTTCACAAAAAGAACTAAATGGAGCTAGTAATAAGAAACAGCGTGTGTAGCAGGGCACACTTGAAAATCTTTATTGCACCAATTACAAAAAAAACCAACACTAGCCAATCTTTCTGCTCTAAAATCAAGATTTTTATTTTAGAAGTGGATGCTGTGGCCCATAGACATTTACATTTACCCTCGATTAAGAATCAAACTGCAGATACATTGACACCCCTGAGGACTAAGACGGAGTGCCTCGATAGGCACTCCGTCTTAGTCCGCATTATGAACTATAATGCGTTCTTGGCTAGCGATATACGCTTTTATAATAAGATTCCAAAAGAAATGTTAGATCTTTCACCTTTTCAATTTAAGTCAGACAAAAATGCTTGGACCTGACCTCTCGTACTACACAGGACTAACTAGAAATTTCCAAACCACACATTTGACATTTTATGTTTGACTTATCGCTTTACATAATTATAGAACTATTGTAAAAATATTTTGAAAAGAGCAACTACTGAGTTTCTTACCTTCTTCCACGATTCTTCTCAGTAGAATCAGAACCCCTGGATATGGAAAAGAAAAAATTGGGGAAAACAGTGATTATATGACTATTCAAAAGTGTATTTTTAATGCCTACTTGAATAAAACATATTTGAATTTTGAATTTCAAACGAGTGAAGGCAAATTTAATTTAATTAACGTAGATTAATTCAATCACAAGAAGAACATAATATACACAATTTTATTTACATATTTACATTTCATTTTTACGTAGGCATACTATACCTATCTGGCAACGCATCTACTTTATTAATCTTCTGAAGAATCATTAATTTTATCAAAAGATGCCGAACTTTCCTTTGTCGGTCTTTCGGCGTGTACTTACAAATAGTAGTATTTATTTAATTCCAGTCATTCCCAATTGAGCTTTGCTTCGAGTCTAATGTATTAATTGTTTTTACTCTAATCCTTGTTGTTCTCGGAGTGATAAGTATACAATTTGATATGAGTGACGAAGAGTCGAATAGTTCTAGTCGGAATAGTGAGAGTTGGAGTTATAGATCTAAAAGACCTAAAAGTAAATTTGATGAGTTTTTCGACATAATTCATGCATCCCAAATTGCTTTGTGTAAATTATGCCAACATAAAAAGGTAAGGAAATAAAAATGAAAAACAGAAACACTTCAGGCTTAAGGAAGCATCTAATATCTTTCCACAAAAAGGAATCACAAATATTTCTTCCTGAAAAACCAAAATTAAGTGGAGATATCACAAGCTTTTTAATACCCACCGGAAAAAGTGGACAAATAAGAAAAAATATATTTATCACACAATTACGTAACACATATATAATGTAACTAGGGGCCGCCTGCGACTTCGTCCGCGTACAACATCTGATTTCCTATGAGATTTTGAAATGTTCTCGCTGCAAGAGTCTTACCTAAGTATAAAGAGTCTATATAGGTAAAGCTTAACTATGCAAGTATTTATTATTTAAAACTAATAAAGTAAATGTTTATCTTCATATCTATACTTTAAAAATATAGGACTTGCATGTAACCATTTTACCGCAATTTCACCCCCTTAGGTTAGGATTTCGTAGAACAGTTTATTCAGGATTTTATTATTGAAAACTTATAACTTTAATGCCGATTTTCGTGTCTCTAACTTCAAAAACGTAGGACTTTCATACGAACTTCCAACTCCCATTTCACTCCCTTAGGGATAGATTTTCTCAAAACCGTTTCTTAACTGATCTCTATGCCATAAAAGGAACCTACCTTACAAACTTCAAGTTTGTATGTTTTATAGTTCCTGAGATATCGTTATAGTCAGTGAGTGGTAGTTATATATATATAGTTATATATATATATATATATATATATATATATATATATATATATATATATATATATATAATAGTGTTAGATATGTATTTATAATTCACTCATATTTTCATTTGTTTTTATAATCGGCGAGACACATAGAAGGAAGGTCAAAGAACGGTTTGAAGAGCTTCAATTGAATCTTAAGAAACGACTACAACAATTTTCATCCAAAATGTCATTTACCCTTGATGAATGGACGTCAATTGCTGGTAGGAGTTACTACGGGGTCACTATTCATTATATAGACAACAAATGGAAGTATCGACCTGTAGTCCTTGATTTTATACCATCACGCGGTCGACATACTGGGGAAGATATTGCAACGATTTTCCACGAATGTTTATTGGAATATGACATAATTGATAAAATACAGGGTATCACGGTCGACAACGCAACTGCAAATACCAAATTTATGTATGAATTGGACAAACAGCTGCCACACTTTGATTCAGACAATCAACATTTCCGGTGCTTTGCTCACATTTTGAACCTTGGTGTACAAGATTTATTAATGATCTTAGCATTACACAGTGAAACTGACAATAAGGGACAAGAACAGCAGTATGAAGATAATGAAGATGAAACTGAGGAAGATGAAGAATATGCGCCAAATATTGCTGACTCATGTACAGCTATAACAAAATTACGCAGTATTTCCAGTAAAATAAAAAGAAGTGAGATATTGAAGAGGAAGTTTCAGTCTGCTTGTGAAGCAGCTGGCGTGCCATCAAATCTGAACCCCATACTCGACTGTCCAACGAGATGGAATTCCACACATGATATGATTGGATTTGGTTTAAAAGTGAGAACTGGCATTAACATATTGTGCACTTCTGTCACCGAATTGAATGATATTCAAATCACAGATAGTGAATGGCAAATACTCGAAAAAATACATAAGTTTCTAATAAACTTTAAACTTCTATCAACGAAACTTGGTGGAGAAAAATATGTTACATTACCGCTAGTCATTGTATCATTCAATCTCTTACTCGATAAAATTGATTCCATGGTAAAACAATTAGATGAGAAACCTAATCGATCCGAAGTGGATGAAAGGCTCATTCTGGGTTTTCAAGCAGCTCGAGACAAAATGCTCAAACATTATAAAAAGAGCAACTGGATTTATTGTACCTCTTTAATTTTAGACCCAAGGCATAAGACTCAGACTTTTGACATGACATTATGGGGGAAGCAAATTAAAACAGAAAGCCTGCGCAAATTTAATGAACTTTATAAAGAATATAAAAGTCTACTCTCAGTGAATACATCTCTAGAATCACTAAGAAATTAAAAGAAAGTATGTGAATATGATGAAATGAAGACGTAACGAAGACTTTGAGAAATTGTATGCATGTCCCTTGACGTCATCTGGATCTGGATCTTTTCATCAAGGCTTAGTTATAGACGAGTTGGAGGAGTACCTAAGTAAACCCAGAGCCGCCAGTTCGGAAGACATTTTAGAGTGGTGGAGGACGCATGGGACAGAATATCCGACTTTATCGAAGATGGCCCGTGATTTTCTTTCAATACCTGCAACTTCAGTACCTGCTGAGAGATTATTTTCTAAAGCATCATTAGTTATTAGAAAACATAGAAATAGGTTAAGTGATGAGTCATCCAGATGGTTACTTTGTATTAATTCTTGGTCAAAAGAATTAATATAAAGTAACAGTAATGTCAAAGCTGTTGTGTACTGTTATGTAATTTAATTTGTATTGTATTTTATTTTTTTATTTAAGTGAATGGTAAATTGTATAACTCTTTTATTCCATTTCATATAAGGGTCTATCAATCTCTTTCTAGACAGATAATGTTCTTTATAATACAGTCAAGTTAATGTCATTAATTTGTTTTTTATATGTTTTGACTAAGTTTTAGCACATGTAAGCTTATTAAATGTAACCGTTTATTAAGAAACAGACTAACTCCCGTGGCCGTGAGACTTGTTAGACAGATCAGTTGGTTAGAGCATCGGCACGGATCGCTTAGGTCGTGGGTTCAAACCCCACCCGGTATTAGTTGATTTTTCGAATTTCTCATTAAATGTTTAGTCATTTATTAATTTGGTTGGTCTTTCTATGGCTATGTTAATTCAAACTCAAAATGTGCCTACTCTGTTAAGTTGCTCTAAGATCTAAAGTAACGTTTAATAAATAATAATAGGCTAATAGGTAATTGCGAGACTTGCGAGACTCTTGCTGCAAGACCAAGACCAATAACAAGACTGAGAGCGCAATACCAAGATCAAGAACAAGACCAGGTGTATTGGCGCAAGACCAAGACCAAGACTGGTTAAGTCTCGTCTTGTTCTTGTATTTGGGCAACACTAAAGAAGAGGCGAAAGAAACTGATCAGTTTGGTTACATACAATTAATTGTAAATAATTCTATAGTTCTTATAAAAACAGAAAAATATTTGATCTCGATTTTCTAGGACGAAACATCGATTCACTGGATCGAATAAGTACTGTAGATCGATTTAAAAAGTCGATATTTTAGCACAAAAAATCGATTCTTCGATTAATCGATCTCAGATCGACACTCCTAGTTCATAGTGTTGGCATATCGCGATTTTTTTTTGTAGGATAAGGTAACAAACGAGCACACAGTCCACCTGGTAAGTAGTTGCTGCGGCCTATAGACATCTACATCTATCCTCGATTACAAATCAAAATACGGATGCGTTGTCACCCATGAGTACTAAG